CTGGGGTAAATGATTGGTCCAGTGATGAGCCCCTGTCCCAGCTGAACCAGCCTGGATCATTTCCTGGACCCTTTATGAGGTGCGACCCTGGAAGCTGCCAGGGCCAATTTTCAGCCACATGGAAGAGCCAGGTGTGAGAGGGTGAAATATGCAGAGAGAAACAGAGAAAAACAAAGGCACTAGAAAGTTTGGATCGTATAATAGGTGTATGTGTAATAGTTTAAGAAACTGCCCGCAATGATCTGAGTGTTTTTTTCCCCATTAATTCATATTTTGAAATCCTAATGCCCAATGTGATAGTATTAAAAGGTGGGGCCCTTGGGAGGTAATTAGGTCATGATAGGGGAGCCCTCATGAATGGCATTAATGTCCTTGCAAAAGAGGCTCCAGAGAGCTAGGCCATCCCTCCAACAGGTGAGAACACAGTGAGTGGGCACCTGACACCAGCCAGGAAGAGGACCTTCGCCAAGCCGCGGCCGTGCTGGCTCCTTTATTTGAAGTTTCCAGCCTTCAGAACTGCAAGAAGTGCTTTTCTGTAATCAGCCACCCAATCTGGGTTATTCTGTTTATAGCAGCCTGAATGGCTAAGACGAATCACCACACAGTTTTCCGACATTTTGTACCACAGTTTTGTACCATTTTGCATCCCCACCAGCAGTATATTCAAGTTCTAGTTCCTGTGCATCCTTGCCAGCACTTGATAAAGTCAACATGTTTAACTTTAGTCATTTCAATACACACATAGGAGGATGGTGTGTCTGTGAGTGTGTTTTAAGGGTTTTTTTATTTTAAAGTTTTAGTTTTTCAAATTTCACACTGTAAAATGTAGGGTTTTTGCTATTTGCATAAAGTTATATGAAGTGTAACAAATGTATAGATTAGTGTAACCGCCACCACAATCAATTGGCCCCAAACCTTGGCAACTGCTGATCTATTTTCCATAAGTATAATTATGTTACTTTGAGAATGATATATAAGTAAAATTATGTATATCTTGTGACCTATCCAAGTTGTCTCATGTATCAATAAATAGTTCATTCAATTTTTTTTAAAGGTGAGTGGAAGTCCTGGCAATGTTGCAGCCAGGTTCCAGCATCTTTGAGGCCCAGCCATGCCTCCTCTTCTTGGCAATTTAGTTCCATGATCAGACTGCTGATTTGGCTTATAATAGTTTCAGTTAGGTTCTCTCCCTTGCAACATAAGAGCTCTGCCTAGTACCCTTTGTATCTATTTAATTCAGTAAACAGGAATTACATACCAAAAGGAAAAAAAATAATCTTTTCTTTCCTATGTAGGGAAAACTGTGTTTTCCTTACTGTGTGTTTCTTCTCTGTGAGTCTCTTTTTACTGCTCACACAAATACCTAACTTCTGTCTACCAAATGTGAAGTTCTTCCCCTCACCAAGCAAGTCCCCATGACATCAGCTGAGTCTCCTACAATTTAACTCAATTCTGACACTATCTACCCAGAGATCGTATGAAATTCCAGAGGTTAAGGGTTCAATCCCACAAGACTGCCCACCTTACACACCTGCACACACACTCATGACATCAGTCACAAGCCCATGTTGTCACCTGTGTTTCTACCCAACTAGCTGTAGATCAGAGGTTCCAACGACCTCCTCCTTGGGTTTGATTAATTTGCTAGGACAGCTTAAAGAACTCAGGGAAACACTCACTTACCTTTACCAGTTTATTAAAGGGCGTGATAAGGAATACAGATGGACAGCCAGAAAAAGAGATGCATGGGGCAAGGCCCAGGAAGGTCTTGAGCGCAGGAGTTTCTGTCCCTGTGGAGTTGGAGTGTGCCATTTTCCTGGTGTGNGGTCCTGAGGGCAGGAGTTTCTGTCCCTGTGGAGTTGGAGTGTGCCATTTTCCTGGTGTGGAGGTGCCCACTAACCTGGAAGCTCTCCAAACCCCATACAATTGGGATTTTATGGAGGCCATCATGTAGGAATGATTGATCATTGCCTACATTTTCAGCCCTTCAATCTTCTCAAAAGAATGGTGGGGCGAGGGGCTGAAAATTCCAAGCTTCTATCCATGGCTTGGTCTTTCTGGTGACCAGCCCTCATTCAGGAGCCACCCAGGAGCCCACCCAGAGTCTCCTTATTAGAACAAAACACACTCCTATCGCCCAGGAAATTATTGGACTTTCAGAAGTTCTGTGCCAGAAACCAGGGGCAGAGACTAATATATATTTTCTATTAACTCACACATAGGGCACTGGGTTTTCCATTTGGAAAGAAATAACCTCGCTGATGAATCTAATTAGACACTAGCACTAATAACCAGCAAGTGATCCTGCAGTGTTTACATTTGAGCTGGTTCTCAAGATGTGTGGGAGTTTTCCAGATGTGTAAGGTAAGAACATGCATTCGTGTATAAGAACTCCATGCAAAGGTAGAGTTATGAGGCTGCACATCATGTTTGAGAATGGTACATGGCTCCATATTTCTGGGATTTAAAGTATAACAAGGAAATGGAAAGAATGGAGAAATAGATGGGCACAAATTCATAAAAGGCCTTGAAGAACACGCTAAGGGGGTTGGTCTAATTGATCCTCTAGATCAGGGATCTCCAAAAGGAGTGAGCACAACCCGAGGAGGGGCAAGGCGATGCTATCAAGGCAAGTACAGGCTATGTAATGTGTGGCGCCCTGAGCAAAATAAAAATGCAGGGCTCCTTATTCTAAATATTTAAGAATCCCAAGATTGTTATAGCAAAGCATTAAACCAAGCAAGATGCTCTTCTCTGAGTGACACACTCATGAAGTCAGCTCTGCTTTCAGGCAAGAATTTCATACCTGAACTGGCTTGTATTTATTTTTATCCTATTCTTTCTTATTTCTATTTCTATGACTGTCTTTTGATATACATAACATTTTTGTAGTAGATATGTATAATTTACAAATAAATAAATATACAAATATTGGTATAACTGATATAAATACAATCTATAAAGATTAAGAAACTTCTCCCTGCAGTCGGGCCCAAATCCGTTGATGCAAGAGAGTTTGGTGACTGGCTTAGGGCATAAGATGAAGGGGGAAGAGGTGAAAGAGAGAGAAGACAGGCAGACCTAAGCAGAGAAAGGCAGATGGAAATAGTGATACAGAGCGAAAATGAGGTTCAGGCTCTTCTCCATTCTGATGGCATGAAAAGGAAAGTTAGAAGAGATTACATTTTTTTAATTCAACAAACGAGAAACAGTCAGTCTTCAAATCTCACCAATCACTTAGAAATTCTCTTTCTTGGAAGTGGGGACAAAAAATAAGAGGCAAGAATATTTCTACATCTCTCTTCTTGTATTATTTCTACTGACCCAATGGGCTGAGTGGAGTCATGGTAAATTAGAGCGAGACTGCTCTCTCCAAGAAAAACAAAACAATGTCAGGGATGTCCTGCCCACTCCGTTTCCACCATTCAGAGCACCAATCTGGAACCAGCAAGGTGCCATCCAGCTCACAAGAACTGCTTTCATGGTGTCGCTCACCGAACCTTATGAAATGGATCAGAGTATAACAGTGACTTAAAGGCCACATGATCCAGGAATTCATTTTTTACTCCATGTCTTTTGAAAATGTTTAATATTTATTCCACACTTTCAAAAAGCAAGAGAAAACTTAAATACATATTACTAAGTGAAGGAAGCCAATCTGAAAAGGCAACATACTTTATTCCAACTCTATGACATTCTAAAAAAGGCAAAACTATGGCTACAGCAAAAAGATCAGTGGTTGCCTTGGGCTGGGGACAGGTGGGGGAGAGGAATGAACAGGCAGGGCACAGAGGAGTTTAAGGGCAGTTAAACCATTGGGTATGATGCCACAATAACGGGCACAGGTCAATATACACTTATCCAAAGCCACAGAATGTACAGCGTGAACTCCAGTGCAAGCCAGAGACTTTGAGCAGTGATGATGTATCTGTAGCTTTTCACTTATGACAAATGCACCACTCTGGTGGGAGATGATAGTGAGGAAGGATGTGCGTGTGGGGGTCAGGTGATATATGGAAGCTCTTTGTACTTTCTGTTTAATTTTCCTACGGATCTGAAAAATAAAGTTTATTAATTTTTTTAAAAAGTAGAATAGGTTTATTATAGAAAATGTTAATTTTTTTAAAACATTGTCTGTAATTCCTTTCCCTCCACAATAATCACTTTTGGCATTTTAGTTTGAATCCCTTGTGTATTTTCCTAAACCCACAAATATATATATGTATGTGCACTTTCCTTTTAAAAATTAGGAAAATGTGGGTATTGCTATCCATTCTTTTCAACCGGGATTGAGCCCACGACTCAGGAATGTGCCCTGACTGGGAATCCAGCTGGCAACCCTTCAGTTCACGGAATGATGCCCAACCAACTGAGCCACATCAGCCAGGGCTGAAGATAATTTTAATTTATAATAACCACATCCTGGTGGGAGCAGAATGCTGGAAAAAATTTTACTTCTGTAATCATTATATAATTCAATAAAGCACAATAAAACGGGTAGGTACACCTACGAAAGCAAATGAAAATGTTTGCAGGACTATGATTACTCATGCAGTCTTATAGGAGAAAAATATCTTTGCTCACTTGCTCTTAAACATACGCTTAAAATGCAGTGGCTCACAACCTTGGCTGAACATTGGAATCACTTAGAAAGTTTTAAAATACACTGACGCTTAGGTCCTACCCCCACCCCCCAAAATCAGATTTAACTGGCCTGAAGTGTGGCCTGGTAATTCTGTTGTGCAGCCATGAATAAGACCCTTTGTTCTACACTTTTTTCTATGCTAATAAAAATAGTAGAGATAGAAGAGGAAAATATAGCCACCACCACCCCAAGGCATGAGAGCCATGTATGTAGGACAAGAAAACATCAGAACCAGAAACAAAAACAATGCGTGGTGTCGGTCCCAAGAGGCAACTTCAGGGCTTGCCACAGGCCTTCAAGGCCACAGCCGGAGCTTGGTGAACACTTCACTATGTGCTACATTATCCAGCTTCCCCTAGTCCAGGATGTTAATACTGAAGCTCCCACCAGCACAGATAGTGCCAACCTCATCTGGTGACAGCACTAAGTCCCACATGTTCACATCTCTAATGTCTCCCATCGAAGAGTGGTTTCATCAAAGCCCCCAGGGAATGAATCCTGCTCCTGCCCCAGGATGACGTTTGCCCCTGTCCCCAGAGAGTATCCCTTCTTTAGATTCCTCCTCACTATGGGCTTCCCATCACCCAGAGCTCTGTAATCCCCGAGGTGGGCTCCCAGATCACACAGAGTGCTGTGATTCAAAAGAACTTGTGGGAGGCTTGAAAAACATGTCAGCTCCACCCACAGATACACTGTATGCCCCAGCCTTTCCCTGGAAGAGGAGGCGCTCATTAAATTGTGTCTTTGTGGCATAAGAGAAGAGGGAATAGTCAAGGTCAGGTCGGTGTAGATTTTCAGACTCACAGTGAAGGCCTTGTGTGGCTTGTTTAGCTGTGTGATCAGGGTCACAAAGGAATTGTTTGACTCTTTAAGGAACACAAAGGCCTTTCTGTACATGTCTGTAGAATTGAAAACAGAGTGAAAATGTCAGCAGTTGAGCTTTGTTAAAAAACAAAATTTAGCTGAGTAAATTTTAAAATCTTTATTTAACAATTCATGAATTGGGTAGCACCCCATCCAGCATATAGAAAGGAGCTCCAAAGAGCTTTACAAAATGAAAGATTTTTATAGGCAGAAGGAGGCAGGGAGGGAAAGTTTCTAGAGAAGAGTGGATACTTTCAGGTAAGGTCACCTTCTTATGGGGAAAGAAAGGGGATCTAATCAGTCAGGTTACCCCACTAGTGCTGACCAGGTAATTTCAAGTTGATGGTTAAAGGTCACGTTGGTGGGAGAGCCTGAAACTGTAGTTAGGTGCGATATGGTGTGGGGCTGATGTGAGGCTTAACACAGTGACTCCATTTGGGGCCTGTTGTCTCTCTTGTAGCACCTTGCTAAGCCATAAGATGTATTTTCTCACTGTGTACAGAGAAATTTGATTTAGAAACCACAGACTACCCTTTTCCCCAGACTGCAACCCCTCTCCCATGCTGGCCATTTTTCCTGACTTGGTTTTGAATAGTCTAACCTTGAGATAAGAACTCAGCTGCCATCTGAAGCCACACATACCTGTCTGCAAAAAAGCACTGAGGAGACTATTGAGGACCAGGAAACATAATAAAAGCTTCTCCAAGTTCCTTTCCTGCTGTCACTTTGCCCAGAGTCTGGTTACATTCCTGAAAAGAGCAGCTGAGATTCAGGGATTAGATGTCTGAGATCCCTCTGTCTTGGGTCTGTTCCATCTTGACCTTTTGTGTAATAATTAGAGTGTCTCTGCTGATGGGTAAATGATTTTTTTAAAGTGTCCCCCGGAGCAATAAACCAAAGTTCTAAGAGCAAATAAACCAAGATAAGTCACAAATTGAGAGATCAATAGAGGTTATTTATTGGAGTCTCCATGGTGCCTGCTGGTGCTGACAGCTCTGTGTGGCAGTGCATGGTGAATTAAAACTGTCACATTCTGAAAATCCATTCTAGGAAAATGCTGTAAAATATGGGTGGTTGAGGGGAGGCTTTATTTACTGAAACAACTACAGTACTATTTAAGATAGTGAAAAATTAGAAAATTGGGCCATGTTTGAGTAAATTGTATATATCTACATCCACTAAGTAGAATAAATGGCCATTTATAATGTTGGTTGTGAAATTTATACTACAACATGTAAAAATGCTTAAGATACTATATAATAAGATTTTAAAAGACATAAATTTGTTTATGCACTGTTTTTTTAAAGTAACTAGTTTAGAAAAATTCTATAATAAACACCTCACCAAAGAAAAAGTGTTCTTATAACGGTAATAAAATGTGGAGGATTTTTTCCCCTCATTAACAACACCTCCATAATGTGCTTATATCACTTTTCAAATGAAGGGGGGGGGGAGCGTTCAGTGAGAAATTGATAATAGAGGTTATTTCTCAATTGCAAAGAACCAACTCACAGGTGGGCAGCATATTCTAAATAGAGAAGAACAAATAGACTATTACAAATGGTAGCACATTTTTAGAAAGGTTTGTTTTAATGGTTTAGCTTTATTTTATTTTCAGTTACTTTTTCCCAAACTCTTTACATCTTATTTTCAAAATATAAGACTGACTTAAAATAATTGCTTCAAAACTTTCTGCTTTTTATTCTAACCATTTGTCCAATAAAAAAATATGCAGATACAAAAAGCAGCAAAGTAGGTGGAGGTTACCCTCACCTCCTCCAAGGAACAAACTGGAATTACAACTAAATTATAGAACAATCATCCTAAATAACTAACTGAAGACTAGCTGAAGAGAAGTCCTATGACCAAGGATTTACAAAAGAACCACATTGTCAACTGGTAGGAAAGGTAGAAACATGAAAAGGGGCCCACGGGAGGTGACTGAGGCTCCAGAGAGATATCTCAGCTGTGGGGGGTTCTACCTGAGAAGCTTGTGTCTAAACCCCAAGCTGGGCTACCCAACCCAGAGCACTAGGGCTGGGAAGAGGCACCCACATAACATCTGGCTGTAAGATGCGGGGAGTTTTTGTGTGCCAAGGAGAGATGGGAGTCTGGGAGTCCACTAGAGGCACAGGCACTGCCTTACAGGGCCAACACACAGAATTTCATTCATAGCCGCTAACCCTGGGCTCTGGCAGAGGGAGGGCAGAACAGACTAAAGTTGTGTCAGGAGAGTCTGGGTTTTGTGGCTCTAATGAGGGACCTGAAAGGACAGCCACCAGGATCCTTGTGCTGAGTCATTCTCCCATTACTGCAGACACAATTTTTCTTGGGTGGGGCACTCTCCTTCATGGGGCATCAGCCTGTGGGAAAGCAATAGTCTGATCCTCTGCATTCCCCCTCACACCATACTATGGAGCTTACTCCCTGCTGAGGAGTACAGCCAGAGGCTGTTTCTTTTTTTCTTTTTTTTAATATATCTTTATTGATTTCAGAGAGAGGAATAGAGAAATAGAAACATCAATGATGAGAGAGTCATCATTGACTGGCTGTCTCCTGCACACCCCCTACTGGGGATCGAGCCCACAACCTGGGCATGTGCCCTGACTGGGAATTGAACCTCTATCTCCTGGATCCTAGGCTGATGCTCAACCAGAGGTGGATCTTGGGGTGATTTAGGACTTTTGTTGACCTGCCCCTGGCCCAGTGCTGGTAAAAGTCATTCTTGGTGAGCAACTTAGACCTTCCCACACAAACACAAGCCCAGTAAAGGCAGCCACAAACTGTGGACCACTTATAGCTCCTAACAGATTGCCAAGTGCCAGTCACAGGCAGTGTCTTACATTGGCCTCACCAGAGTCCCTCTCAAGAGGCCCAAAATAAACACACCCAGGGGCCAGCTTCATATAAGATCAGAGCAGGATCCAATAAGTTTCACAAGCAGCATGTCCAAAGGAAGACTTGGCAGGCACCAAACCCGGCTAAGGCAAATTTTGCTTTATGTGGTCAGCACCTGTGCAGCAGCTTGCATGCCATGCTCAGGGTTGAGCCTCACATTCAGCCCCCCTGAGGGTTGATCCATGCATGAATGGGTCAATAGCAATCAAGACTCAATTACAACAGAAAGGCATACATAACTAACAAAAGGGAGATTCCTGGAGCAGCCCGCTCAGGTGATCAAAGAGACTGCACCACTGGACCACACAGGACACCTACTACATAAGACCACCCCATGAAGGTGGGGAGTCATAGCAGATCTATATAATACATAGAAACAAACACAAAGAGGCAGCCAAAATGGAGCAACAAAGAAACAGGCCCCAAATAAAAGAACAAAATAAATCTCCAGAAAAAGAGCTAAATGAATTGGAGGGAAGCAATTTTATCAGATATAGAGTTAGTAATAGTTATAAGGATGCTCAACAGCATGAAAAAGGATATAGAAACCATAAAAAAAAAAAAATCAGAAATGGAGAACACAATATCTGAAATAAAGAACACACTGGAAGAAACAAAGAGTGGGTTTCATAAAGCAGAGGATCAAATCAGCCATTTGGAAGACACAGTAGGAAAAAAACACTTAATCAGAGCATGAAAAAATATTTAAAATGTGGGGCTAGCTTCAGAAACCATTGGGAAACCTTAAACATGACAACATCTACATCATAGGGATAACAGAAGGAGAAGAGAGTTAGCAAGGGATTGAGAACTTATTTGAAGAAATTATGTCTAAAATCTTCCTTATTCTGCTGAAGAAAAGGTACACACAAGTCCAGGAAGCACAGAGAGTCCCCAAAAAGATGGACCAAACACGTTCTCACCAAGACACATCATCATTAAAATGGCAAAGGTTAAAGACAAAGAGAGAATCTTAAAAGCAGCAAGAGAAAGACAGTTACCTACCAGGGAAATTCCATAAGACTGTCAACTGACTTCTGAATACAAACATTTCATGCCACAAGTGATTGGCATGAAATATTCAAAGGGATAAAAAGCAAAGACCTACAACCAAGCCTGCTTTACCCAGCAAGGCTATCAAGTAAAGTTGAAGGAGAAATAAAGAGAAACTCAGACAAGAAAAACCAAAAGGAGGGTTTTTTTTTTTTAGCACCAACCAGTATTACAAGAAATATTAAAGGGCCTGCTTGAAGAAAAATGAGAAGAAAGGAGAGGAGGGGGAGGAGGAGGAGGAAGAGGAGAAGCAGAGGAACATATTAAAAGAATAAAGTGACAATAAATACATGCCTATCAATTATCACTTTAGATGTAAATGGCTTAAATGCTCCAATCAAAAGGCATAGGGTAGCTAAATGATGTTTAAAAGAGACCCACCTTGAAACTAAGGATACACAGAGACTAAAATAAAAGGATGGAAAAAGATATTTCATGCAAATGGAAATTTTTTAAAAGTTGGAATAGTAATACTTATATCTGACAAAATAAAGCTTAAAACAAGGGCTACAGTAAGAAACAAAGAAGGACACTACATAATGATAAAGGTAACATTTCAACAAGAGAATATAACCCTTGTAAACACTTACGCACCCAACATAGGAACACCTAAATGTATAAAGAAAATTTTGATGGACATAAAGGGAGAGATTGACAGTAGTAGTAATAGTAGAGGATTTTTAACACCCAGTTGTCATCAATGGATAGATCTTCCAGACAGAAAATCAACAAGGAAATGATGGTCTTAAATGACACACTAGATCAAATGTATTTAACTGATATCTTCAGAGCATTTCACCCCAAAGGAGCAGAATATACATTCTTTTCAAATACACATAAAACATTTTCTAAGGTCGATCACATGATAGGATACAAAGCATTTCTCAATGAATTTATAAACTTTGAAATCATATCAAACATCTCCTCTGACCACAATGGTATGAAACTAGAAATCAATCGCAAGAAAAAAACTGAAAAACACACAAAGACATAGAGGCTAAATAACACGTTACTGAACAATGAATAGGTTAACACTGAGATCAAGGAAGAAATCAAAAGATACCTTGACACAAATGAAAATGAGAACACAAGAATCCAAAATCAGTGGGACACAGGGAAAGCAGTCCTAAGAGGGAAATTCATAACATTCCAGCCCTATCTTAAGAAACAAAGAATCTTAACTAAACAATCTGATTTTACCCTTAAAAGACCTTGAATAAAAACAATAAACAAAACACAAAGTGAGGAGAAAGCAGGAAATAATAAAGATCAAAATAGAAATAAACAAAATAGAGTCTAAAAAAATACAAAAGATCTTTGAAACCAAGAACTGGTTCTTTGAAAAGAAAGAAAGATTGACAAACCTTTAACCAGACTCATCAAAAAAAAAAAAAGAGAGAGAGGATGCAAATAAATAAAATCAGAAATGAAATAGCAGAAGTAACAACTGACATCAAAGAAATACAAAGGATTATAAGAAAATATTACAAAGAATTATATGCCAACAAATCGGACAATCTGGATGAAATGGAAAAAATTTATAGAAACATACACTCTTTCTCCTGGCCAGTATAGCTCAGTTGGTTGTGTGTCATTCTGTGCACTGAAAGTTGCCAGTTTGATTCACGGTTGGGACACATGTCAGGGTTGTGGGCTCAATCCTAGTAGAGGTTATTCGGAAGACAGCTGATGGATGTTTCTCTCTCACATATTTCTCTCTCTCTCTCTAAAAATCAACTTTTAAAAATCTTTTTAAAAATACACTCTTCTAAATCTGAATAAAAAAAAATCAGAGATCTAGACAAGCAGGTTATAACTGAAGCAATGATAATAATAATAACTCCCAATAAACAAAAGTCCTGGACTGGATGGCTTCACAGGTGAATTTTAATAAACATTCGAAGAAGAACAAACACCTATACTTCTCAAACTATTCCAAAAAATTCAAGAGGAAGGAAGATTCCCAAGGCGTTTCACATTATCCCAATTCCGAAAACAAATAAAGATACTACAAAGAAAGCAAATTATAAGCCATTATTCCTAATGAACATAGAAGCTAAAATCCTCAACAAAAGGTCAGCAAACCAGATCCAGCAATACATTTAAAAAATCATAGACCATGATCAAGCAGGATTTATCAGGGGATGCAAGGTTAGTACAGTATCAGCAAATCAATAAACATGATACACCACATAAGCAAAATGAAGGGAAAAAACACATGATCATATCAATAGATGCAGGAAAAGCATTTGATAAAATTCAGCACCCATTTATGATAAAAACTCTCAGCAAAGCTGGAAAAGAGAAAACATACCTCAGTGTATTAAAGACCACATCACACAGCCAACTCACAGCCAACATCATGCTCAATGGGCAAAAACTACAAGTGTCTCCCTTAAGATCAGGAACACGGCCGGGCTGTCCGCTTTCACGACTCTTAGTCAACATAGTTCTGGAAGTCCCAGCCACAGCCATCAGACAGGAAGAGATGAAAAAGAGCATCCAATTGAAAAGGAGGAAGTTACACTGTCATTATTTGCAGATGACATCATATTGTGTATAGAGAACCCTAAAGATTTTACCAAAAAAGCTACTAGAACTGATCAATGAATTCAGTAAAGTAGCAGGATACAAAATAAATATCCAGAATTAGTTGCATTTTTATACACTAATAATGAACCATCAGAAAGAGAAGAAACCAATCCCAATCCCAATTGCTTCAAAGAGAATAAAATACCTAGGAATAATTTAACCAAGGATGTAAAAAGCCTGTACTCGGAAAATTATAAGACACTGAAGAAGACACAAATAAGCGGAAGCATGTACTGTGTTCACAGACAGGAAGGATTACATTAAAATGTCCATACTGGCCCTGGATGGAGCATTGTCCGTACACAAAAAAGTTGCCAGTTTAATTCCCCTTCAGGGCACATACCTAGGTTGTGGTTTGATACCTGGATCCCAGTGGATACAGGAGGCAACTGATTATTGTTTCTCTCTCACATCAATGATTCCTCTCTCTCGCCCTTCCTCTCTCTCTAAAATCAATAAACACATATGCTTGGGTAAGGATTAAAAAAGAAATGTCCATACTGCCCAAATCAATCTATAGTTTTAGCACAATTCCTATCAAAATACCAAAGGCATATTCCACAAAACTAGAACAAATATTTCAAAAATTTGTACGAGATCACAAAAGACCCCGAATAGCCACAGCAATCG